TCTTGTCCTAGAGAGTCTGGCTTTTGAAATGGAACAGACCAGATGGAATAATGAGATACTTCTTCCAGCTCAAAGAGGACAAGTTGGCGTGCAGGGCCTCCTGAAATGGAGGAAGTCGCCTCCGTCCTTATTATGCCAACTTCCATCTAGAAGGCTGTCCCTGAGAGAGGGAGGGTCAGTTATATCTGTTTACTAGGTAATTGCAGAATCCCATGGCTGTAGGGCAATAACTGAGAGCAGGCAGAGGACCTGGCTCATAAGCTAAGTGCTCTTGCTGTGCTGGTTCAGGGTCCAGCCTACCTTGTAAATGTAGGGTGGGAGAAAGGGATTTTGGAAACTTTTACATAAAGTTGTTGGGCTATTGAATTCATAATCCACTATTTCCTGCCTGGGGCCTACCTCAAAGCCCATAGGACACAAAGACTGCTGAGAGCCTCAGGGATCAGCACTTGACTCAGAAAAGTTAGATCAGATAATAGATATCTTACATGGCAAGCTTCCACTTACTGCAAAATCTGACACAGCTATTTTGGACAGAGGAATTTTCTGGTGTGCTGAGGGTTCAGCAGAAAACCTTTTGGGTTCTTCCTACTTCTCATCCATCCCCCCCACCTGCCCTTGTTCGAAAATCTTTCTACAGGGACACTTATGTCTGTGTTTTCCCTTAGCAAGTCCTGGGGTCCTGGGATACAGCCACTGTTGGATAAGGGAGGATTATAAAGTGCCAACTCACTTGGCTGGTGACTGGCGAACCAAAGGTGTAGAGGGGATATGAGATTGGCTGAGTATGGGCTGAACCTGGGACATCCTTTCAAAGTTGATTTTTAAACTAAATCCTTAACCTGAGCTTGTTTTCTTATCATTGGCTTCATTCTCTTAAAATCTGAGCACAGCAAGAATAGAAATAAAGGGAGTTAATGAGGGTGCAATTCATGGGACTAGGAACTGGATGTTAGACTGAACTGTGCAGATTACTCCAAGACACCACACATTATTTGGGATATTGTATACCCCAGAACTACATATTCCATTCTGCAAGCCACCTGGTTGGATTAATGTTTTCAATTCCCCAGACAGAGAGAGCTTTCTTTGATGGCTGGGTGGCTGCCTTTCAAAATGATGTGGATAAGCACAGCCCTCATATTTTAAAAAAATTGGACACTTTTGATATTTTTCCTGTCCCCTGATAGTGCTCTCTCCTGCCACAAGTGTCAGAAAAACTGGCTGTGCTCACAGAGCTCAAAGTCAGCCTCTGGACCGCTCTCTAATATTGTTGCTGGAGTCCCAGGGCATTTATCCTGCCCCTCACCCTTTCTTACGTCTCACCACTTTCCTCGCACCTCCAAACCAACCCCCAGCTACCTGGAATTACTCATTCAACAAACCTATCCCTGCCTCATAAGTAAATGTAGTAGGAACAAGGTCTCTAAGTCAGGGCTCTGCAATTTACTAGCTGTACTATCTCGGGCAAGGAAGGCTCTCAGACCCTCATCACCATAGTTTCTTTTCATTGTAAAATGATGACATTGCCTACTCTGCAGGGTTCGTGGCATATCCAGACAGTGTCTGGCCCATAGATGATGATGCTCAGTTAATACTAGCTGTTATTGTCAGTGGGTCTCAAACTCAGCTTATTTTTAATTGAAGTATAATTAATGTACAATTCAAATACAGCCTAGCTAGCAAACTTAACCTTTTTCCTTTTTCCTCCCCAAACTACCTGGATTTCTCTACCTCCATCTCAATGTAAGGGAGACCCCACTAAAGGAGCTGTTTTTTCTTCTGTCCTATGTCCTGGTCCTGGTGGTGTTTTTTTTTTTTTTTGTGTGTGTGTGTGTGTGTGTGTGTGTGTGTGTGTGTGTTTTTCCTGCCAACATAGCTTATTTATCTCTCCCTTTTCATCTCTCCCTTGGAATCTTGGGGTGAGTAGCAACAGTTAGTTTAGGAAAAATTTACAAACTGATGAAAAGTTAACTCACAGACTCTTTCTGGATTAAGAAAGCTCTATGTAACACAGAAGACAGACTAATATATCAGAAAATTCATTCCAATATCAATTAAGCTCATGATTTAAGAGGTTGTTTTCCTTAGCTAATGTTCTTAATGACTTATAAATATAGTCTGGACTTTGTTCTGCCTACTACACAAGGTTCTAAGTGCAAACACCATGTTCAGACAGCTTGTGACCTAAATGTAACATAATATCCTGAGTCTGGGATTGTCTCCCACCTAAACTGAGGTGAAGAAAAACACCATCTCTGGCTAGTGTAGTAGGTTTGCTTGAATAATTCTATTTCTCATCCTGTTGCAAACAAAATGGACCTTGTGCACATACTATGCCACTAGTCGGGTCCAATGGGAGACCCACGTCATAGTAAATTATATTGGCTGTTTTGTGACATATCTGTCCTGGCAGCCTGGAGAAAATAAAGGCCTTCAGACTGTGCTTCCTGGGATGGGGGGTTGACAAGGATGTCAGTGCCAGGCACCTGGTTAGGAGAAATATCCTGAAGCAAATAATAATTACCTTTTTTGCTGATAAGAGTCCCAGTATTTTTCCAACAGCAAGATTGCATTAAGGTATTTCCTTGGACCACAGCCTGAGTCACAAACTGATACATGACTATTGGCCCTAACCTCAATCAAACTCTTGTATGTATGGTGGAACTCAATGTTCTCCTTATGGCCCTGAGTTGTTGTAAATAATATTCTCATTGCATTACCTGTTCTTGTTCAGTCCTGGTTACTTCTTATGACTGCAATTCTGTGTGTGTCCACAAGGTGGCCTCTCTTAGGAAAGAGCTGGAGAAAAGGACCTCAAGTCTCTGATGTCTCTCTCTCTCTCTTTTTTTTTTTTAAGCTTGAGCCTGAAAAGATGAAAAAAAAAAGTTTGATGGGAACATATATACCTCTTAGTAGGCAACAATAAACTCATTTACCTTGTGACTTGGAATTTGTGCCTGAAGTACCCTCTAATTCTATGTATGGCTGGACCCATCACAGGTGTTTTCCTGGATGGTTTGTGCATATAGTCTTGGTTTGTAGTTTGCTGTCTCTTTTTATGTTTATAGGAAAGTAACAGAATATTGTTTTTAAAAATATGAACATGAAATCATGGATAATGTTTAATGTTGAATGCAGAATAGAGTGTGGAAACCAAAGAGAAAAAGGCTGGCATCTTGTGGTCATTCCAGTGCCCACTCCCCTACCATTTCCTCTCGCATCCTCTGTCACCCAACTGGTTTCCAGGTGCTCCCTGTACATGTTTCCCTACTCATCTGAGCTCCTGGACACTTTCTCCTCCACACAGGCAAATTAGCATGCACAGATTAGCTCAGATGTGCGCACACATCCCATGCATGTCACATTTAGGTCACAAGCTGTCTGTGCACGTGTACACAGACAGGCATATCCAGAGGAGGAGCTGAGTGGATAGGTGCTAGTGTTGGTGCAGGTCAGCAAGCCCACTGGTTGTGTGAAGGGACATGTGGGTGACAAACTATGTGTGAAAAAGAGACTGAGAAGGCAGGCAGTGGGAAGAAGGCAAGGCTCCTCGTGGTTAGGGTGGGTGCCTAGGGAGTGTGGTGTGTGATAGCATTGCAAAGCCTTAGGGATATCCTGGCTGACCCCTGAAGAAGAGTTTTTAAAACCAGCACCGCCCTCTACTGCACGCTTTCTATCTACTGTTAGGGCATTTGTATTAATTTCTCTAAGAAATCAGTTCCAGTTTGGTTTTTACTGATCTCCAGAACCCTCGTTGGAGATGCCAGTTGGCACAAGAAAGTGCTGAACTGTTTACAGTCCCAGCCTCAGGTTCAGGGAGCGGATGTGGTTTCACTGGGCCACAAAGCCCCGTACACAACTCATTTGCATGACTCCTGACGCCATGTGACGCAGCCGGCTCCTCCTATATAAAGAAGCAGGAGCCGAAATATCTCCGAGTCTGGGTTGGACTAGCGGCCGTGGAGTTTGTGACACACTAGGTGACACCCATCGAGCCACTTCCCTTCAAGTCCGGAGTGCTTGCCTGGCTTTAGGTCCTCTAGGCGGCAGCGTTTGCCCCCCTCCTAGCCCCAGGGTCAGCCGCCCAGAGTCCAGGTCCGAGCGGCGCGCCAGCAGCTCCTCTGACAGCCCAGCCACCCCAGCTCCCTGCAGCCCAGCCATGAACACCGAAATGTATCAGACCCCCATGGAGGTGGCTGTCTATCAGCTGCACAATTTCAACATCTCCTTCTTCTCTTCCCTGCTTGGAGGAGATGTGGTTTCCGTTAAGCTGGATAACAGGTAAACTACTGCCCGAAGCTCCCTAGCGGGCACAGGCGGAAGCTGAGCTGAGAGCGGGATCTCGGAGCTGGCTGCGCGTTGTTCCCGGTTCCCCGCGGTGCAGCATCCTGGGAAGGGGCGGGGGTGGGTATGCGGAGGGGGCTTGTCACTGCCGCGCCGGGATCCGCCTTTGGTGCGTCCCTGCGGCCCCTGCGCCGTGAGAACAGCTGCTGCAGCGGGAGCCTGAGGCAGAGAGGCGGCGAGCAGGGCTGGGCAGGGGGCTGGCTGTGCTCTGGGCGCCACTGGGGAGCAGGCCGGAAGCTTCCAAGCCCAGGAGGAATTCCTAGCTAGCTGGAGCTCGGAGCTCGGTAGGTTTACTTGGGACCTTCTGGGTCAGAGCCTAAAGGGCCCTGCGGCAGGGAATTCCAGGGGTCGCGCGCCCCATTGTTTGCCTGTCGCCCAAGCTAAGGAACCGGCCATGCTGGTCCATGTGCCCCAGGACCCAAGCGCGGCTGCAGGCTGAGCTCTGGGCGGTGGCGGCAGGGAAACAGCCTGGGTGGGGAAGTGCAGCTTCCTGCAGTGGCCAAGACGGACCTGGGGACAAAGTGCCCGTAAATTCGGACCAGGGAAGCAGGACAGAAGAGATGGGGCAGATGGAGGACTTTGGCCACAGCTACCAGGTACTCAAAGTGGAAAGGAGGTGGTTAACACGGTTGCTTTGCTTTTTGTCTTGACAGTGCCTCTGGAGCCAGTGTGGTGGCCTTAGACAACAAGATTGAGCAGGCCATGGTGAGTGGCATCACTGCGTCATTCCCATCCCCAGACCTAGCTGCTGCTTATATAACTGGGCATGACTGAAGGGGGTGGGTGCAAAAGCCAGTAGCCAAGAAACCAACCACCTGCTTTCTATCCCCTTGCAGGTCTTAAATAGAGTCCCATTAGCGTGGCACCTTTGAGGGCATTTCCAGTCTACCCTCCTGGATGGGCCCCTTCCTTTCTTCCTCTCACCCATCCTGGTTCTTTGTAGCAGCCTCTGGCTCCGTCCTAGGCCCACTGCAGGGCAATGAGCTCAGACACTTGTATTTATTCTGCATCTCACATTTGGCAGGAACCGGAGCTCATTGGATGCTGCAGCCGCACTGCAGTGCCTCTGCAGAGTCTGGGTTGGGGTCAGGAGTTGGGAGGGGACAGGAAACAAAGCACCCTACTCCTCACCCCTCCCTTTACCAGGTAGAGATCATACACCACCTAGCAGTCACAATGGCTGCAGGGGGTTAAGGCGTTCAATGAGAAACCACTTAATTGTGCCCTGGAGCCTAATGACACAGTTCCAGGACCCCAGTGTAGTAATCAAATTCAGAGAGAATACAGCAATCAGGTACTTTTCCCCAGGGCAAGTGTCTTGTCACATCAGACTTTTGGACAACTGCAATTCAGTGTGCTGGGTCATGTGGAGAGGAGGAGACTCCAAAATTGCCACTTTTATTGTCTTGGAGAAGATGCATAAAGCAACAAACAAAAACAACAGTGTGGGGTACATTGAAGGTCCTCCCTGGGATCTAGGCCAGTAGCCGGAACTTATGTGGAAATGGGGATATAGCCAACCACCAGCAACCAGCAGAATTCTCACCCAAAATGCTCCTAAGCAGCCAGCTTTGAAAGTCATTAGAAACTTGCAGGGGGGATACTGTGTGGCTCAAAACTGGGCTCCCAACTCAGGAGTTGCCTTGATCATGCAGGTCTCCTAAGCAAGCATTTAGGTGCTTTGGAGAAGGGTGCGAGAAGAATAGGGCTGCAGGGCCAGCGTGCTGAGGGGTTGCTGAAGGAAGGTTGGAGGTAGGTGGCATAAGAGACAGCACAGGCACCTTGATGGCAAGATGAAAGTGCTGTTGAGGAGCCATGATGGCTAACAAATGGCTTTGTTGTGATTTCCTCTGTGACAGGATCTGGTGAAGAATCATCTGATGTATGCTGTGAGAGAGGAGGTGGAGATCCTGAAGGAGCAGATCCGAGAGCTGGTGGAGAAAAACTCCCAGCTGGAGCGTGAGAACACCCTCTTGAAGACTCTGGCCAGCCCAGAGCAGCTGGAGAAGTTCCAGTCCTGTCTGAGCCCTGAAGAGCCAGCTCCCGAAGCCTCACAATTACCTGAGGCCCCTGATGGTTCTGCAGTGTAAGTGGCTCTGTCCTCAGGGTGGGCAGAGCCACTAAACTTGCTCTACCTAGTTCTTCCCAGTTTGTTTTTGGCTCCCCAAGCATCATCTCACGTGGAGAACTTTACACCTAGCATAGCTGGTGCCAAGAGATGTCCCAAGGACATGGCCACCTGGGTCCACTCCAGTGACAGACCCCTGACAAAGAGCAGGTCTTTGGAGGCTGAGTTGCCTGGGGCCTCGTCACCCCCAGGCAGTGAGCCTCTAATGCCACCATGCCCTGGGGGCTCCCAGGGCCCGGGCAACTTTGCTGTGACTGGCAAAGGAGAAAGGTAGTTTGATATGTGATGCCAGTTTGCTCCTGAAAGTAAAAGGGGATCTGCTTTTCATTTCCATGGACATCTTTAACAGTTTCACCTGACAACGACTGTTCCTATGAAGAAGCCACTTGTGTTTGAAGCAGAGGCACCCTCTCTCTTATATCCTGCCTCGCCAAAGCAGGGCCGCAGATGGGAGAGATTGAGCCAAGTCAGTCTTCTGTCGGTTAATATGGTATAATGCATGGCTTTGTGCACAGCCCAGTGTGGGGTTACAGCTTTGGGATGACTGCCTACAAAGTTCTGTTTGGTTAGTAATGGCATAGTTTTTCTATATAGCCATACATGCGTATATATACCCATAGGGCTAGATCTATATCTTAGTGTAGTGATGTATACATATACACATACACCTACATTTTGAAGGGCCTAAACAGCTTTAGGAGTATTGACCAGTTCCTTATCTCTTAAGGCTAATTCTTTGACTGTGTTCATTTACCAAATTGATCCAGTTTGTCCTTTAGGTTAAGGAAGACTAAAAAGTAAAAGCAGGGAGAGGGCCAGTCTCTGAATGTGGCCACAGATGCCTTGCTGCTGCAATCCTTGCCCTCTGAAGACATGTGAGGTCCTCTTTTGAATGCCAAACCCACCATTCACTGGTGCTGACTACATAGAATGGGGTTGAGAAAAGATCAGCTGGGACTTCACATTGTTATTCAAAACCTTTTTTAAATGTTTGTGGAAAACTTTCAAGTGAAGAGAACAATTGGCTTGCTGGTGTCCTTTTGTGGACAAGGGATAAACAAGCAATGGCTTTGACGTGATGGTGCCTAGGTGATGTGCTCAGGGGGCTTGTCTCTAGGATGTTCTGTGGCAGTGAATACTTTCCACTTTCTGACACCTTATCCTGATGTATGTCTCCAGGATTTGGATTTTGATTTCTCAAATGTAGCTTGAAATTTCAATAAACTTTGCTCTTTTTTTCTAAAAATAAACCTGGTATCTGAATGAGTATAAATGGAGTGGGTGGTAAAGGCCTCTCATGTTTGGGAGCACAGCTTTCCTGATTCACTAATCATCATGAGCATCTCCTAAATGGCAGGCCAATGCTACCTCCATGATCCTGTGTAACTAACACGATACCCACATTGTATTGATGAGGAAGCTGAGATTCAGCCAATTTAAGTGCCTTGTCCAAAGTCACACAGCTGTTATGGCAAATTGGGACTCAACCCCACTCCATCCCTCTCTGTCCTGCTCCTGCTTTCATATAACATCTTTAAAGTGAGTAGCAAGGTGACTACTAACACACAACCTCAGCTAGAGGGATAACCTGGGAGGGATAATATCTCAAAAAGGCCTAAAAGAAAAGTGTAGGTTATATAAGGAACCAAATAAACATTAGTAAACTTCTTCCCTCTTCTGAAAACATCAGGATCATTTAATGCATTCACCTTAATACCAATCTACATGAGACCCTTCACACTGGCAGAAGAGCTAAGAGGACCTTAGAAAAGAAAACAGAATGCAGGTGGTAGCCAAGGAAAGATGTTCTCAGTCCCTGCTGCTTCACTTGTCACTGCTGGAAGTTTGCTCACGAGTTGCATGTGCAGGACCAAGTCTAAGGATCCTGACTCCAGCTTCCCTCCTCTGACTCTCTTTGAAGTTCATCCTCACCCATCTCCTTTTCCCCGGCCCCATGTCTCGGGCATCCAGAGTCCTGCCATTTCTCTGAGAGCCCTCCAGTGAGCATTTGGTGTCCACCACATCCTCACCAGGACCCTGAGCTGTGTTCTAGGCTCAACGTGTTCTCACCAGAGGCTATCACCCCTATTTGATTGACCCATTCAATCTTAGTGTCCGATAGCATATACTACAGGCCCGGTGCACGAAATTCGCACATGGGGTTGTGTGTCCCTCAGCCCAGCCTGCACCCTCTCCAATCTGGGACCCCTCAAGGGATGTCGACTGCTTGTTTAGGCCTTATCCCAGTAGGATCAGGCCTAAACGGGCAGTCAGACATCCCTCTCACAATCCAGGACTCCTGGCTCCCAACTGCTCACCTGCCTGGCTTCCTAATTGCCCCTAACTACTTCTGCATGCTAGCCTGATCACCTCCTAATGGATCCCCTGCCAGCCTGATTGCCCCTAGCTGCCCTCCCTTGCTGGCCTGGTCCCTCCCAAACTGCCCTTCCCTGCAGACCCGGTCACCCCCAACTTCCCTCCCCTGCAGGCCTGGGTCCCCCCCAACTGCCCTTCCCTGCAGGCCTGGTCTACCCCCAACTTCCCTCCTCTGCCAGCCTGGTCACCCCTCACTGCCCTCCCCTACAGGCTTGGTGGCCCCCAATTGCCCTCCCCTGCTGGCCATCTTGTGGTCATCTTGTGTGCACATGAGGGCAGCCACCTTGTGTGTTGGAGTGACAGTCAATTTGCATATTACTCTTTTATTAGATAAGATACCTAATACTTTGCCACTTGAAATTGACCACATTCCTTGATTTTCCTGTACCACAAACCTCAAATACCAAGATGTCTTGGGCCCCTCCTTTGTGCCAGTCATAGCCTAAATATACTCAAAACGCCATGCTTCCTTCGCTGTAAAGCTTATACATGTTGGCCTGTTCTGTCCTAATGACCAAAACTCTTCTTCAGAACTTTACAAACACATACGTGGTGGCCTCTCAAATCCCAATTTTAGCAGTTGCTCCTAATCACTCTGTTCATATGATTTGGTCATGGTTTTCAGATTTCACAGCTGCTAAAATGAATACAAACTTTGGACCAGTCAGTTACCCCCAACCTTGACTGTTTCTCCCCGACCCCACTAACCCCCTTCCCTCCTTTCAAGATGAGCTGAGGGAACTTTTGACTCTTTAGGTCCTCTGTAGTCTTTAGGACTTCCCAAATTCAATTCCTAGTCACCAAAACTCTTCTTCAGAACTTTACAAACCCCTGTTTGGTAACCTCTCAAAAACAAAAGCCAAAAGATGAAAAAAACCCAAAAAACTAAAACACACTAAACAACTCAGAAACTGGCCCAGCAAACACACAGCCATCTCTGGTGATGCAGCCCTTCCCTACAAGAAAGGGGAAAAACTTGCCCACAGTCACATAGTGGGAAAGAGAGAACAACTCCGTTTCCTAGGCAACCCCAAGTAAACAGAGACAAACACTGCCACTTGGGAGGCCATAGCAGTTGTTAGACTAGATAAGAGGAACTTTGTGGCTGTTTGTTAGTCACATATAGAATCAGCTCTTTTTTTGTTGTCCCACAGAAAAACAAGTAGGGGTGGGGAAAGGCAAAAGAACACAGTGCTCCTGGAAAGAGATTCACGGTTTCTGGGCTTAGCTGGTCCAGCTGGACTCAGAACAAGGAAAAGAACAAGAGCAATAGCAGCAATAATGTTCCCCTGCCTGGGCATGCCCCCTCTCTGTGTCCCCTCCTATCTATTATCTCATCTGATCCTCACAGCAGCCCTCCTCACATGTCAACAAGAATCACAAGAGCACCACTACACACGCCTTCTTATGAACAGGAACATTTTGTTTCCTGCCCTTAGAAAAAGAGGCAGTTATGATGTATCTCCATTTGACAGACAAGAAAACTAAGAGCCAGAGAGTTTGGTACTACTCTCATAGCGCCCATGGGACAGTGGTCCCCAGCCTGGGTGACCACAAGGACCCGTTTTAAATGTCAGGTATATTTTCATATCTCCCTCAACCTGATAGTATTTAACTTTTAGTATTCACTGAGAGAGAAAAAATAAACACATAATGACAAACATTAGCTGTGAATCCATTGGAGGCTTTTAAATGAATATATTACATTTGCCACAAAAGCATAGAGGTTGATTTGAAAAGTGAAACAGAAATGTGGGTAATAGATGATTTATAGACAAGGACTGCTGGAGTACAGGGTGCAAGGCTCTCAGGCTTGGTACTACCATGGAGGAAGATGATCCCTTGAGGTCTTATAAGGAACCCAGGAAGTAAGCAAATGAGGAAGAAGGGCCGCTAGGATCTGGGATGTAAGGAGGACTCGAGAAAGACCACAGAAAAGAAAACACATAATCCACTATCCTTTAGGGTGTTTTGAAGTTATCCCAATATCATCTACTTATCTAGGAAAATCTTGCTTTCAAATCTCTCCTCATCTCCTCCTAGTTGATAATAAATTAATGGACATAATTAGAACATTGTACATAGCCCAGTTCCTCAGGTTGTCTCATGTAGAGAAGTTTGTTGGAACCCAAATTATGTAACTACCTCTCCTAGATCAGTCAAGGTTTGACAGAGAACTCAATCAGTTAGCTATTCGAAACAGAAGTGGTTTCCAGGGAAGAGCTGACTGGAAGAAGCCATAATAACAATAATTAATAATAATAGTTAACAGTTACATGACACTTACTTTGTGTCAGACATTGTTCTAAGCCTTTTTACATCTATTGCCTCTTTTAATGTTCTCCACAAACCTATGAGGATATTCCATTAAGATCCTCATATTACAGAGGAGAAAATGAGAACACCAAGGCACTGAAAGGTGAAACAATTTGCCCAAAGTCATCCAGCTAGTTAATAGAAGAACTAGGACTTGTGGGAAGGGATAAAATGCATTGAGAAAAAGGATGGATAATCTCAATAGTTTTCATAATTCCTTTTGAACTAGTTAAGTGTTCTGGTGGCAGGAAGGAAAAGGTGGAAAGGAAA